GGGGGTGGGTTTGAAAGTCAAGAAGGCATGAAGAGTTTGATTGGAAAAAGCGGTGGTGGGAGAGTAATTGCTAGTTGGGTTTAATTTGGGGCAAAGTAAGGCGGGGTTTGGATTGACTCGAGGGCAATTTCATTTAATTTTTCAAAATTAGTATTCAGGATCATTATCAATGAAACATTCATTGTAGGAGATAATTAGAGGTTATGCACCATTTTTTTTGCACTTTACAAGCAAAAGATGGCCTCCAAAATTAAAAAAAAAAGCCATAATATGATGGTGTAAGAGTAAAAATGTTGAAAATGGTAGTGATGATGTTGTTAATTCTTAGTTTGGAGGAAATGATATTTCACATGAGGAAATTGTTATTTGGACTAAATTTGAGAACCCAATTTGAGAACTTAATGATGTACAATTATTAAATTGGTTGTGAGCTCTATCTAGCATTGGATCTCAAAACTAATCTAATACTTCATCCGTTCCTAAATATCTGTTGTTTTATATAATTTTTTTGTTCTATAATATCTGTCGTTTGATGAAACTAATGCATAATTAATATTTTTTTTTCTAAATTTACCTTTAACTTTTCAATGCATTAGATTATGTGGAGGTTAAGTATCTTTCACACTCATTTCATTTCCAATACGTATTGAATAAATGTATTTTAATCTTATGTAATTATTTTTTACTCATATTACAGCTATTTAATAACTTTCTTAATTCCTGTGTAAAAAATCTTAAACGACAGTTATTTAGGAACAGATGAAGTAGTTACATTGAAACCACATTATTAAGTTTCTAGGTTAGATCTTTAAATAAAGTCCCTGTAGCATTACTCTTCACATAATTGTTTCAATTGCTTATAATGAGCTTTCACGAATTATTATGTCAAACGAAAGTCTATTAAACAAAAACTTAATCCAACACACATTCGAATCACAAAGGAAAAGAAATCTGATCCATTTAAACCTAAGTTTATTGAACGACATTTTATCAATTTTTTGGGCGAAAACAACTTTTATCAACATCCAGGAAACTGAAAAATGGGGGTTTATAAAAGCTAGCTTTTTCAAAAACAATCAAAATGGTTCCAAGAGTTTATGTAATTTTAATTTTTTAATTTTACTTTTTAAACTTCTATTTTGCATCCAAAAATAAGCATCAAATGGATCCAAAATTGAAAAATAACATGCAACAGAAAGAACACAAGATTTAGGTAGTTCAACCTCTTTAGATCTATATCCTTGACAACTATAAAGAGATTCAAGACACTCTAGTCACCAGAAATGCCTGCTTAGTTGTAAGATGAAATTGAGTTCAAGTCTCCTTCATAANAGACACTCTAGTCACCAGAAATGCCTGCTTAGTTGTAAGATGAAATTGAGTTCAAGTCTCCTTCATAACCTGTTTTTTTTTTTTTTTTGTTCTGGTGGTAAGTTTCTTCGTAAGGCTTGCCTAATAAGCTTCATATTTCTAGATTATCTCAACTACTTCAGAAGTGGTATAGATAGAGTAGGGGGGGAATTTGGAAAAAATGGAAAGGTTGGATATTTATCATTTATCCTAATATTCAAAGAACAATTTTTTTTGAGGCTTAAGGATATTGTGAAAGACCTGACTTTGCTAGGGATTTGACGTTTCAAGGAATTTTTCAGATTGGCTTAATTGTTTAGGCTTGGGTGTATCTGAGGTTTGTATGCTGTGGCAATATCATAAAATGTGATAGTTTTGGGGAAGTAACCAGTGACCCTTGTTTCACCTCTGCTACATTTAAAGGCTCTCCTTCTTATCTTTTCTCCCCCATTTCATCCACTTCATTAAAATCAGTCCAAGACCCAAAAAATATTCGGTGCTACCATTTCATTACTCATATAAATTGTATATCACATAACAAAATGTTGTATGGTGAGTTTTCACATGTATCTAACGAACAAATTGTATGATAGTTTTTCCTTGGGTGTGGCCACTACTCGACACCGTCACCGTCACGTGGTAGTTGATGACCACTGAAAATTTTATCATCCAGGTATTGCAGCAAAACTATACAATAAAAAGCTAGAAAGAGCAGGAACTTCACCCTTGTCTTCTTTCTCATAGTCTCCCTTTTCTTGTTTTTTGTTTTCTCAAATGCATGATTTTGTTCCAATCTCAAGGGATTGTGATAGGGTAGTGATCGAGTAGTGTGGGTTGTGTTTGAATTGCATCGTTTCTGGTTTTTACGAAGAACAACTCAACTCTTACTCGACTCGTTTAAGTAATCATGTGCCATGACACTAATCCAACTAATTTATCCTACGATATTGTATCCTCACTTGGTCGGACCGAAAGTTGAAAGGGGTGGTGTGTTGTTGGGGGATCACCAAAGCAAGAGACAGCGCTGTGTGTGTGTGTGTGTGTATGGAGTTGAGGTTTGATACCCGACTCCCCATGTAAGAGAGAGTTAAAGAGAGTAATGGCTTGGTCTTCGTGGTGTCGGTGGGATTCCGACATGCAAAGCTCACACTCCCCAAGTCTTCGTGCGTGCAATCTCACCACTCTCTCCATTATTCTAATCCTCTTTGTCCAACCATTCGTCTGCAGCCCCTCTTTCATCCTTAGACTCTCTCTCTCTCTCTCTCTCTCTCACACACACACACACACACACTTTGAGAGACTTGAAAGTATAGATAGTCTTTCCCGTATTCTTTTTTTAAATTAGCNTCTCAACTACTTCAGAAGTGGTATAGATAGAGTAGGGGGGGAATTTGGAAAAAATGGAAAGGTTGGATATTTATCATTTATCCTAATATTCAAAGAACAATTTTTTTTGAGGCTTAAGGATATTGTGAAAGACCTGACTTTGCTAGGGATTTGACGTTTCAAGGAATTTTTCAGATTGGCTTAATTGTTTAGGNAAGGCTTGCCTAATAAGCTTCATATTTCTAGATTATCTCAACTACTTCAGAAGTGGTATAGATAGAGTAGGGGGGGAATTTGGAAAAAATGGAAAGGTTGGATATTTATCATTTATCCTAATATTCAAAGAACAATTTTTTTTGAGGCTTAAGGATATTGTGAAAGACCTGACTTTGCTAGGGATTTGACGTTTCAAGGAATTTTTCAGATTGGCTTAATTGTTTGTCTCAGNATTCAAAGAACAATTTTTTTTGAGGCTTAAGGATATTGTGAAAGACCTGACTTTGCTAGGGATTTGACGTTTCAAGGAATTTTTCAGATTGGCTTAATTGTTTAGGCTTGGGTGTATCTGAGGTTTGTATGCTGTGGCAATATCATAAAATGTGATAGTTTTGGGGAAGTAACCAGTGACCCTTGTTTCACCTCTGCTACAGTTAAAGGCTCTCCTTCTTATCTTTTCTCCCCCATTTCATCCACTTCATTAAAATCAGTCCAAGACCCAAAAAATATTCGGTGCTACCATTTCATTACTCATATAAATTGTATATCACATAACAAAATGTTGTATGGTGAGTTTTCACATGTATCTAACGAACAAATTGTATGATAGTTTTTCCTTGGGTGTGGCCACTACTCGACACCGTCACCGTCACGTGGTAGTTGATGACCACTGAAAATTTTATCATCCAGGTATTGCAGCAAAACTATACAATAAAAAGCTAGAAAGAGCAGGAACTTCACCCTTGTCTTCTTTCTCATAGTCTCCCTTTTCTTGTTTTTTGTTTTCTCAAATGCATGAT